AATAATGGATTTGAACATATAGTATCTTTATAGTTATAATATATTGTAAAGCTATATACTAAATCTTCAATACCTAATTAATCTATTTCAGCTTGAATTTTATTTCCTTATGTTATTAGATAGTATCGAACTATTATTTGAAATTGTAATTTTGTAAGGAAATTGCTATTATTTCTAATTTCCTTTTTACTTTTGTATTAGATCATTTCGTATTTTCTATTATCTTGTTTCTTTTGAAATCTTTTAATTACCCTTATAGGTGTATCTTTATCTTCAAGTTCTATGTGATATATATATATATAGTTCAATAGTATAAGTAAAGTATATATCAATCAACAAGAATTCAATAATTCGACAAGGGTTCAATAATTCGATAAGGGTTTGATAGTTCGACAAGGGTTTGTATACGTATATAAATATATATATATAGATCGACAGCTATATGATTCAACAAGGGTTCAGTAATTCGACAAGGATTCGAATACAAGCGACGATTAGCTTTATGCCTCCAGTGAGGTATGATATTCAAATCCATTATGTCCGGTGTAGTAAGGGGATTACTATATTATTAGTAATATGTAGTATTGGTATTATATAGAACTATTAAATGATATTCCTTTAATAAGGTATAGCTCTAATACTAGTATTATATTAATATATGTAGGCTAAGGACTTAAATATAGATTCGAGATTGATGTATATTTGTATTAGTGTATTTATATGCTTAGATAACATGTATAGTATCTTGATTAAATGAATACATATCAACTCAATGGATTTTGAATGCGATTTCGTTAAATACTCGGATTTCGGTTGCTTTTTCGACTGGTTTTCAGTTTATACAACTCTTCCTTACTTTTTCGAATTGAATATTGATATATATAAACTTGTATTTTAGTTATAGATATAAGATACCAAGTTTATAACCTATTGTAGATTATGAGCAGGTATATGAATATAAAGTATATATAGAATATAAAAGGGATTAGACTAATATTAGTTTATTATAAAAAGCTGGCTTAGTTTAACAATTAAAAAGTAATAATAATATGTGATATTTAGGAATCTATATTATAATATTGAATTTTTTATTCTATATTAAAAGAGAAAAAGCTTATATTATATACCTTTTCTATTCTAACCTAATTTTCCGCTTTTATTTATCTTTTGTAGATTTCTTTCTAATCCGGTCATTCCTTTGAAATAAAGCTCTTTTTCTTATTCTTTATTAATAGTCGTTTTTCGGAATCTAATATAGTTGTTTTCGGAAACTAATAATAGTCATTTTCGGATAGTTGCTTTTGGAAGCTTATAAACGACGATTATGTGATTAGTTATATGATCCTGTGAATCGCTTTTAGTATAGTATATGAATATAGAACTATATATATATATATATATATAAAAAGATATATTATTATTTTTATATAAAAACAATAATTTCTTGTAAATCTGTAATTCCTATAACTTTTTTTTTTCGATATAAAATATTCAATTGTAGTTTTTTTGTAGATGTAATATAGGAAAAACGATTTGTATATATAACTCTCTAAAAAATTGAAATATAAATCTTTTTTTTATATGTTTTATTTTAATTCAAAGTATATTGATTTATAAATAGTATTTTATTATTTCGAATTATTTTAATTATAGAAACTAGTAATTATTATTTATGTAGTTTTAAAAAAGATTATTATTCTTAAGTATATATATTTTTAATATTCGATATATCAGTTAATAAAGGGTATTTAGCTTTATTATATATATTATTCAATTCATTTTAATCTTGTATATATTTTTATATATCTTTTATAATTCTTTTCAAAAATTTATAATCCTAATATACTGCTTTTTCTTAAACAAAAATAACTCCAATTGTTTGTATAATTGTCTGTTTAATTTTATCAGGCATCTCTTTTCGATTAGTTTTGGGTATTTGTGGGTATATCTTTTTATTTTGTTGATCTTTATAGAGTATAATTTAATAATTTATATAAAATGATTGAATTTTAATTAAATTTAAAAGATCTGAAAGCTGAAAATGTGTTCTTGATATTATGTGGAAATGGGTTGTGCACGGATCCGGCATTTATCAAAGACACGCCCTCGTATGGTTAAAAATTTGGATTCTCTATAGAGCAATTAGACTCGGTCTGTATCTTTCTCCTTAAATGATTGACCGGCAAGGTCGGTCGGTCGGTCTAGGGATATGAACTTACGGTATGTCGATGGTCAACGGCATTGTGATGGTATGTGGCTGAGATGATGTATCTGAGGAAAGAAGATTGTGAGGTATGTGCGGAATCGCGACATATTAATATATCTGTTCTGCACAGTGCCTGACCGAGAGACTAGGCGATTAGGCTATATTCGGGCAATCTGCGGAGTATACAAGCATTGGTTTTCTGGATTAACTGTTGGAGGTGGGTCTTCGAAGCCAAAACTGTGAACAGCCTCGAGCCAGCGTGAATTCCCAACTTTCTCGGTGGAACCTCCAAAGTTGGGCCGCATATTTTATTCCTGTTTTTAACTTTTAAGTGGCGCCAGTAAGCTTTAAGGGTAAGTTTTACAACACGGCTAGTGATGAAATAAAGTTTTGGGCCCATAACTTGTTGGCCCTTCGCGAAGTACATACCTGTAGCTGGCATCATAATTAGTAAATTGAGGCGTTGGAGTTCAAATTATTTTGAGTAGAAGACTTCAGTTTAAAAGGAAATTTTCACTGCTTATCAGTCTTTAATGAGTAATGATAGACATACGCTCTCACTGATTCAACACTAGATTCCAACTCTTTTCACCACTGCATTACGATTCACACAAGTCACACCACGTCATAAACATTTGTTGGTTCTCTTACCGTATTTCAGGCGCCGGAACTCGTGAATAAGAGTGGCTCAACTCTCATTAGTACTTGTCTGCATACTCATCCAAGACATGCATCCAAGTGCAGCCGAGATCAATACATTCTTCGCCTCTTGAAACAGCGTCTAATGTGCTATAAGTTCTGGAAATGTAATTTTTTTTCTATAGCAAAAGAACTTCAGAATTCCACCTTTTCAATAAGTTCCTAAGTTCTCTAGTTGAAAAATATCAAAGCCAATTTCTCACAAATGTAAAGTCCTGTGGGAAGCTATAATCGAACCACAGACGGGAAAGCAATGTTGAACATTCGTAGCTTTACCTACCTCGAGCCTACATCATATCTGATATTCACCCCACCTGGCGCCTATCTGACGGGCAACTCGGATAAACTAGCATGTACCACAGAATGGTAAACTAGCTCGAGACTACATCCCCTTTACGGCAGGTGTCTGCAAAGGTTGAGGTATCTACCCCGCTATCACGAGATAAGCGCAAGCAGAGCTAACCTCAATTTATCATTCAACATATCATATCACATATCTCTCTCGTAAGGCAGGACGAGGCAGACTCATTATTGTGGCTATGCAACCTGCTCTATGCACAATGCACCCAGTACGAAGACGGCAAGCTCGGAATGATGAGACACATCCAAATTTCAATAATGTAAGGCTAGGCGGGGTAAATGCCGTATACTGTATGAATTCAAGAGGGGTAGAGGGGCTCAAATGAAAATTCATGGCTTTCGATATATCTAAGACATATAGACTTTCATCATTTTCATCTTTGTGGTCTCGCTGCAGATCATCCTACGTCATACATTATCTGCTCATCAGGCACTCGCTGAGCAGCGAGGCGACCTATAAAATGCTCGTATACTTTGCTCATGCGAAAATGAAATCTCTCCCCCTTCCACTTGCACTTTTTCAAAGCTGGAAAAGCTATTGTGACCCGTTCAGATAGACCCCGCATGAAGCTTTACCGTAACTCTTAGACACTGCTAAAGGGGTCGCAAAGCTAAGTATCTGACTAAATCTCACAACTATCTATCAAATATATGGTCTCGCTTCCCACTAGCCGAAGACAACCTAGACTAATAAGCCACTTCACACTTTAGGTATTGCTTACTCTGTTATCCATGATATTTTTCTTTTCTTCTATTTGCATCGTATTTGCTTTCGATATTCAGATATGATTGAAGGGATTGGAGCGAGAAATCAAAGACTGGGGAACCTATCGGTACTGGAGAGGACGGCTGGATTGCCCGCTTAATTAAGAGATCGACACGACGAGCAATAGCAATCATATAACCCCTACTAAAGCACTCAGCCTGTATGATTATTAGTGAAGTCAGATATAGCCTGTTAGAAATTTGGACACCTTCCTCTCCTGGCGTCCTTGATCTCACATGGGAATTGGAAGCCTCGAGTGAAAAATGATACATACACACATAACGAACCTCCACAACAACATTTTTACTATCGACACTTTCAAAAGCTATCAGGTCCAGAAAAATGCTAGATGGCGATAACGATCATTTCTTTCATACTAAGCCGTGAGATTCAACAAGATCCCTACCTTGAAAGATTTATATACGTTGAAAATTCCGCATAAGGGCTGTAATAGACACCAGAAGCCTTCACGTTTGAAAATCGGTGAATACCTCAGTGTCTAAACATCTTTGGATTAAAACACCATTAAAATGGGACAAAAAATATAGCAGTATATCTGTGGAAAGTTTGCTCCCAGTGATCGATTGGAACTTCATATCACCTGGCCTTCATTGCAGCTATTGATCTTGGCATCGCTATCCTTCTTGAGACCGCATTACATCTTTCTAAACGCTTTACTCTTAAATCGCAGTTAGGAAGAAGTGGTTTGCGATATGAGATTTATTCTGGATAGTAAGTAAGAATGTCTTATATACACATAACTAGTATGTTTAAGCCGCTAGTCTAATTGAAAAGCAATCCGATGAAGATCTAACGATTCAACATCGACAGTAGCTTCGCGAGCCCAAAAACCGAAAACGGCCTTGAGTGATTCTCAAAATTGAATAACACTGGTATTTTATACTTTGATGCTTTTAAAACTTAAATATATATTCAGATTGATTCATTCTGAGCTGTGGAATCGAGATAATGATTGATGATTGGATTTTAACTGGGCAAAGTCGCCAGAGCGATTCTGCAGTAAACGCCACTGTTATGAGCCACAATAAAAAGCCACATTGGCTACGCTACCTAGGTGGACCTCCCCGGCCATCTAAGATTAGCAAATGCATAAAAGTGGCTACGTATCCACTTTTGGCCCCTTTCACGTTAGTTACTTCCAAGAATAGTAAGTTTAGAGATTCGTACCATTTTGCGACATAACAATTTACGAAGAGATTACGAACTTCCTAACCAACGGACACGAAATTATTGATTGATTACGATAACCATAGCGAAAACAAACCAGCAGATATCTGAAAACCTCGATATCACAATACGTCACATTGACGATACGATTTGGATTGAGACTCATTACCGCCTTTCCGACATAGGAAAACGATCCGTCTTCGATTCGCCGGACCTCATTGCATTTCAACATCACCATCATCACAACAATGCAGCTTTCCTCGACGTATACCTTATCCCTCCTCGCCTTCCTTCCAACCCTCACATATGCTCAAGCAGGCTTAGGTGGCGTGGTTGCTACATTAGCAGCCACCCAGATGGCAACCACGACTACTGGGGCTCCATCACTTTACACAGTGGGTAGCGTCACGGCTGTCTCATACATACCAGTATATACGCAGACCTTTGCAACAACAGCCTTGGGAACTTGGGCGATCGGAGCTACTCCTTTGGTTGGGAGTGTGGGATTAGGAACTATTCAGGGAACCGTGGGAACGGTTAAGAACAAAAGAGCTTTGCCTACCGCAATGTTTGGGAAAAGTCATTAGAGGGATGTGACTGTCGAGCAGGATTCTGACGTATGAGAGGAAAGATTGGAGTTAGACATGATGGGAGCAGAAGATGCATCTCCCGAGATGGGTTCGATAGGAGGGTGATGGAAAATGTGCGACGAGACAGGAAATAAAATACGACATAAAGCGAACGGAAATGGATGTCGAAATCTGGATATGGAAGGAGGATCTTCTTTGACGATGCCGATGGAGTTACAATGGCGTTGATAAGGCATACGTTCTGGAAATTTGCGACTCGTCGGGAGACTATATATCTTTCCGCTTGGCTTACGATCGCCACCGACCATCATCATCATCGTATCTCTTTGCATATATCCAACTAGCGGCCGAAATTCGAATAGTCCATGTATTGATCAGCATTAGACGATGAATACCCATTCAAAGTTTTTAGATTCGTTTGGCGGCATTATCAGGAGTTGTTGGTGCAGTTTGTTTTTGCCAATTTGAAGACATGGAGGCAAATGATACAACATCGGTCTTCAATTTTTCTTTCTTTTATTTGACTGTGTATATAGATATCAGGCGAACCAGTCCATTGCAGATGACTTAGGAGGACATGGGAATGGATGTAATACCATACAGACTAAGGAATGAAAGTAATTATTCTGTTAGGGCTTCAATCTTCTATAAAGTTATGAAAATTTGAGTCAAGTTGAATGATTTAAAAACGATACCATGTAGAGACAAAAAGGGAAAGCCACATGAGTTTTGATCATGGTATAAGTTCAAGGTATTATGGTGCCCCGCGACGGATCAAAAGGGTTATGTATTCAGACAGATATTGCGAAAACAAATCCTAAGAGCATCAAGACAAAATACAATAACTCGATGCGCCTCTAACAACAAAACTTTACAAATACATACAAAACATCAAACCTGACGCCTGCCTTAAAACCTCCACTCCTTCAAACTACAATAATAATATCAAACTTTGCAAGTGCAAGTGTATCCCATATCGTATCCGCCAAATCTGTTCCCTCTCCATCAGTTTTATCGAGGGTTCCTCGAGAGAGCTCAAGCTGTAAAAGACGGCTCCTCCAAGCGGTCGACTACTTCCTGATTAAGGAAAGCAAGTATCCTCTGAAAGCAAATGTCTTTTCTAGCACCTCTGAGAAGGAATGTATTGAATCAAGGAGTTGGTACATAAGATTCTGTGTTTTTGATATAAAATATCAATCTTTATGTGACCTTAACGTAAAATGTGTATTTGGATTCAGTAAGATTATGATGATTTGAACGCATTAAGATCATTGTAACAATCTCAAGATCAACCAAATTACATAAACGTTTATTTTTCGGGGCCATCTGCTTATAAGGGACTGTTAGTCTTTCTGAGGAGATGGCCTTTCCTTTTCATAAGCTCATCTAACTCCTTGTTGGCCTTCCATGGTGTCAAACCTTGTTTCTTGATATCACCGACATCCTTAGCCAGCTTTCCAAGGTCCTCGATTTCTCGCTGCCAGGGTGCCCACGTATCACCGGTGCTCCAATCCTGTCTTTGTAACAACTGCAAATCCGACTTGGCATGGTTTATCTTCCTTTCTATTTTGGTTTCATAATACTCGTACCGAACTAGCGTAATAGGATCGGCGGGATATTCTGTGCGTTTGGAGGACCTTTGTTTTTCTTCGTGGGCTTTTTGATCGGGTGTTATGATCTGACTGTAGGGATGATTGGAGGTTCGGGGTTTCTCCTCTTTCTTTCTAGAAGTACTACTAGTCTCTTGATTTCGTTTGCCTGACCCGATCGCATATATCTTTTTCTTGTGTCTTTCACTTGGATCGTGCCTCTTGTTCCCATTACTTAAAATTGCTGTAGTAGACGAATCTGATATATTGCCATCTCCATGAGATGAGCTGGAACCGACTCTATAAGCTTTGCGTCTACGATCTGTGCTGTGATTGGAGATTGAATGGTGGGGAGACTTCTTCATATTTGGGCGCGGAATTAGATACTTTTAAGATGGAATCGATGTTTCCAGAATATCAAGTCTGTGTTTTATGCTGTGCGGTTTTCGCTCTCCTTTAAGAAGGTGTGTACTCTGCTTTTGAGATTGAATCGTGTGGCTAGTAGTTGAGAGGAGATCAAGACTCTGAGGATATCGTATAAATGTGAGATAAACCCTGGCTTAGGAAGCATTTAAATAACATTTTGGATATCTATGAACATGTGTTTGACCTGCTCGTTCGGCCGGCCTGAATCCGTTGGACTGGCCCAGAGGAATTTCGATTGCGTATTTCGAAACCGGCAGATTCCAGTACATGTATATCATCATTTTTTCTGACAATTTGTGGAGAACAATAGCATACGTATTCAGATATCCAGAACATACATTTCACCAAGAAGTGTGTTGGCATTGGTAGATTCTTCCAAGTAAAAGACTTCACATTGCCTATTTACTATTCCTATAAAAGAGAGTTAGAACTTCCGATATATCTCAAATCATTTCACTGATCATTCTTTTATTGCCCTCAAGGTCTCTGAGAATGCTCACACAGGCCGGCAATACTTCGACTGCGCAATGCCGCCGGCCTCTTTTAGCGGGACACAGATTTAGAAGGAGACCATTTGGTCGCGAGCATCACTTTGACACACATGGGTTACATATGAGAAACTCCATCGTTTTCCAATAGAACCTGTGATACTTGACATAATTTTAGATTATATTTACATCTCGAAAGGAATGAGTAGATGCTTTGCCAAGCGATCCAAAGGTGAAGATATACTCATTCAACGCTTCACTCACTCATCTATTCTTGAGTCTTGAAATGGAGTTGGGTATCGAATTACTCATTGGATGGAATCAAGATTTCCCTGCATCCATACGAATTTTGAACTTTGAAATATGTGTATTGATCTGATGTATATATGTTAGCAACGCATGGTGCGCTAGTACGAGGTTGAAAAGCTACTCCTCTTGACCTCGCGTACATTCCGTAGATTGTTACTCGTCAGATACATATAATAATATACAAATTGCGTCTCTGATAATTTGAATGAACTGAAACTTTTCAGGGATATCAAAAATCAACTTACAAATCAGTGATATGCCATACGGCCATTCCGCAACCTCTTTTACAGTATATACACTAGCGTCCTAGTAAAAAGTATATTTCTAGCGCTAGTAATTCCCATGCTTCTTCGGAACCTTCCTTTTTGTGCTTGATATGTTACCGGTTCTGTTAATATAATAATGTTGAAATTTAAGGTCCATTGGATATACATTAAAGCAATGTATTGAGGATCTACTTTCTATATCATATCAGTTTCCCAAGTCTCTTTCCTCTCTTTTATCATACAAGGGGCTTCTTAAAACCGATAGTAATCATTGTTGGTTTCACTATATGGATGATGAAATTATCATAAAATTGTGATTCACAATGTGTAATACTACTTTAAGAACTAAAAGCTAAAAACTATGAACTCTTTTCGATGTAGTTGCTGTAGAGGTACTAGCGAGTGGTGCTAGTGTAGTCATATGATTGCTACCCAACAACTAGAACTTCAGATCAACACTATCCACAAGATCTTCTAGTTTCTTAAGCCTTCAGCGGTGTCAGATGTTCATTGTTAATGTCGTAAATTCTCTCAGACACCTCTTTGTACCTATCGATATACTTTTCATAGCACATCGCCATCGCATCATTTTCTTTTTCCCCCCATCTCTGTCTTTTCCCTCACCAACTCTGAAAGCAGTCGAAGTACCTCTTCTTTGCTGGGGGTGTATTCGCTTGAAGATGAATATTTATCTTTGGGCGCTTGTCGATTGGTCGTGTTAAGATCAGGGTATGAATTTCGGCTGGAAGAGCCGGATTTACTCGGTCCGGATTCACTCGATTTAGGTCTACTCGATCGTCCTGTACCGATCGAATCTGCCTTCCTAGGGTTCATTACTTGTTCACCTGAATGGATCCTTTTTTCACTGGGATCTTTATATTTTATAGCAGATTCATTTGTCGCATGAATTTTTCCACTTGAATGCTTTGGATCGGAGACTAATTTGTTAGCAGGGAGTTCATCTCGTGAATTCTTATTGTGATGAATATTTGGAAGATTGGGAAATGAATTGGACTACCTTTTTCTAATCCGGAAGAGAGTTTTCGTGAGTTTTTCTCATCTTTATTAGAATATTTGCTGCTCATTTTGGAGTTTGAATTGGATGTCTAGGGCTTAAGGGAGATAGTGTCTGATTCTTGCAAGGTTCTGAAAATGAATATTGGTCTGAGAAACACGCCTTTAAATAATATTTTGGAGTTGAAACAACCAAATGTATATCTAACCTGTCGATAAACATAAGTGATTCATTCGGCCGACTTGAGGTCATATACTAGTCTTAGGCCTTTTATATACGTGAAGTGAGCTTTTATAAAGCCCAGTGCATGTATATCAGCATTTTTCCTAAAGTTTGATAGGAAGTGAGGGAATGCATGTTACACTATCTTAGAAGGTACCGGTAAGCTTTCAAGAAACATGTTAAAAAGATGGATCCTGGAGGCTTGACCACGACTTTCATATTTTTGTACTGTTATTCTTACGCCTATGATAGATATCCAATACATTTTGACATGAATATATATGAAGCGAATCTATGCATAAGTTCCCCATTGCCATCTAGCTCTCTTTCATCACAAGAACGACGAAAAGCTTCTTTGATTTCAATAGGAGATGGATTCTCATCTTGAAATATCAGAATTGCGTGGTAATTCCTCAACCTTTCAGAGAAACCAAAGCGGCTACTGCAATCTTACATTGTATGCTCAACTCCTATATGAGATGTACCCTGTAGTAGCAAAGTTAATATCTATATACGAAAAAAATGTTAGTATAAATCCCTATACAAATATTTGATATATACATTATACAATTCAAACTTTTTTTATCCCTAACGAAATACATATTTTATTAGCCACAAATCTTTTCAGTTCAAAATAAGAATCGTTTATTATTGAATTTTAATAAATATAAAGAAAAGAAGGGGTCCTTTAGTTGAAGAACTTTTAAGATTTTAGGAAAGGTAAACAGAAGGAAAGCGAGTGTAGAAGCTAGGAAGAAGGGAGTAAGTGAAGGAACTAGAAAGGGAAAAGAAGCAAGCGAAAAAGCGAGTGTAAAAGTTAAAGGATAAAAAAAGATGTTAGCCGAAAATTTAAAGGAGGGTTTGTTTATAGATCACTCAAATCACTTATTTCATTTTCGATTTATTCTTTAATTAAAAGTTTTACTATTGTGCTATATAATACAGAATATATTATTTAAATAGGAATATCATTTAACTTTAATATATATAGTTTTATATTAAATTCAATTAATAATCGAATTCAATACAAATAAACTTTTTTACTTGCAAATAATCTTAAACTAAAACTTTCGAAATCCAAGAAATTTCAAAAGATCAATAAATTTCGAAAATTTTTCTAAGTCCCCTTAAAATAAAATTTTCTAATTATATATATATAAAAAAGTTAATTACATTAATACTATATAATCCATTTTTTCAATATAATATTAACTATTAAAATTTTTAATATAATTGATGAAATAATTTATTCGTTAACCACGGATTCTGCCACCACAGGGATAAACACTCTACCAAAACACCTGGAAGTAGATTAGTACTCGTCTGACACCTGTACATTTACATAATTCTCAGTCTAGAAACCGTTCATTGAATATTCTCATACTAAGATTCAAAATTACCACACACACCCTCTTTCCAAAATATAAATCATACCGAATTGTCGTACATAAAATAGTGACTACTCATCACTCTATAGAATTCACCTATATATTCATCATCTCCATACCATCTATTATAATCCATAACATAACCCTGCATCATGGTGAACACTAGTATCCCTTCCAAAGTATATCTCCAACACTAATAATAAACTATTAGCTCCCTCAAAGCCTTTTCCTTTGCGCTCGCGATTCTATTGGCTCTCCCAATTTAATGACGTCAATTTCGAGATCGAGCAGATGTGCAACAAAGCGATATTTAAGATCTAGATTTACCTCGATTCACTCATTTTTGAGATCCTCTAGAAAATGATGCTAATAATAAGTTTCGAGGTGGAGCTCGCTAGCGCCCGTCGCTAGTATTCCCACCCACCTAGGTGAATCATGAATGTTAGTCGCTCATTCACTGCAACGAGATAACTTGTAGCTCAGATATGCTAGATGTAATAAGATAACATAGATAAAGAATACAATATGGCTCGCAACTGATGAGAGACACGCACTACATAAACATTCTCAGTCCCCGAGACAAGAAGTTTTTAGAACAGAACCAATTCACTCCAAACACCCTAGTTTTCATGCACGCAGCAGTACGATAACAATCCATCTTTCACAGCATACACTTTTCAATACCACCCCTCTCTAAAATCAACTCTCCCACAACTTCACTCTCTTCCACCAAAATTCACAAGCTTCCTTCTCCATTCTATCCTTCCTATCCTCTTCAATCTCTACCACCACGCCTTTTTCCTTACCCCCCGCAATCTCATCATTTCCTCTTCCGAAAATCATTTTTTGTCGTTTCCCTTCCCCACCCTTATATTCTGACCACACCATGCGAGTCGGATATCTACCCGGAATTGCATTTGGATTTCCTGTCGGAGATATTATGAAGGACGTCCAATAAGCATGCATCAAGCCTGCGATTTCTTTGGTCGTTATGGATTTATCGACTACCTGGGGTGCGTATGCAGGAAAGGGGTATTGAGAACCGTGAGAGGCACCAAGAAGGACACTACTATTAACTGCGTATTCGTAGAGATAGACTGGTGCTGATTTGGGCAAACTTGAATTTGAGTGAGAGTTTTCATAGCGATGTTCCCCAGAAGCAAAATAGGCAGTTTGGCGCACAGGACTTATGTACGCATAATCTCCATATGCTTTATCGAGGCGTCGAAATTGATTCCCCACTTCAAGAGCAGTGTTATTGAAGGCGTATGGAGAGTCTGGGTTGTATTCAGGATTTGGGTAGAGGGAGTCGATAATTGAGAGATCTTCCATTGGAAGATTGGGTAGGAGTACGTGGAAGAAATCGAGGAAGGAACCTGCTTTATCAACGGTTTTAGGAACGAAGATAGACCCCTCATTGGTGTTGTAGCCAGTAAGAATGGGAATGTGACGGTATGTGTTATTTAAAAAGGCCTCAATTGGGGGTATTGGAATAATACTGTCTTGGCCAGGTCCATCGATGCACGGTTGGAAGGGCCAACGAAGGGAGGGGTTATAAGATTCAAAGATTTGTTCCGAGGCAGCTTTGATAGATGAAACAGGAAGACTGCGAAGTCTCGAAAGGATTTCGGCACGTGGAGTGCTAGAAAGCTCAAGTTTATCTAAGAATTCTGAGAACTGAATCTCATGGAGGGGGTTATCGTAAGGATAGACAGCGCGGGCTGTTGGTCCCCCAGATTCAATAATTGCTTTAGCAAAAAGGGAAGGGGGGCCATCATTGTTCATTAAATGATGACCGATCTGAATCTTTATTAGAATCCACAATGATGTATTGATCGTATCTCTAATTCTCTAGCATAGGCAGTATTTTTATTCATCCCGAACTACAGAACTTCCAATGCACGAACAGTTGAGAAACTTTGGTTAGAATTTGACAACAGAAACCCCATTCCAAATAAATTCATTCAATATCGCGACCAGTTTAAACGCTTCAAACGGTCTCAGGATTCAAAATCCCTCATCATTAGGTTGCACTCCAAGCTATTGGAGTGAGCAGACAAGCATGGCTTGAGATTGGTTGCCCTGAAGTTGCTAACCAAGATTATCGTAATACTGAGGGAAAAAAGAAAAAGAAAAAAACTCACAGAATGAGCTCCAGCTGAGGGACCCATCAGAGTAACGTTTTCTGGATCACCGCCAAAGCTTGAAATATGTTTCTGGACCCATTCCAACAACAACTTCTGGTCTTTCAAGCCCAAATTCAAAGCCTTCTCTTCAGCCATTAGCCTCGATGGCAAAAAACCCAGAGCTCCTACTCTATACTCAAATGTGACTGCAATCAAAGGTTGTTTAGACCAGCCCACCAGAGATGCTATTCCCCTATCATTCGCATACCCAAAATTGAAAGCTCCTCCATGAACATGCACCAAAACTGGTAATTTTTCGTTTGGTGAATTCGTGGTGCTCTTGGAACGATGAATATTCAGATGAAGACAATCTTCACTTTGAGGTTGATTGTCTGGACCGGACATACATCTTGATGCGGGTTTTGTGGCATCAAAAATTGCTGTTGATGTCTTTACCGGGACAGGAGGTCGAAACCTAAGATCTTCTGTTGGTGGTAATGCATAAGGAATTCCAAGAAACTCTTCGAGGACTTGTGGGTATTTTAATGTTTGTTTTCCTATATACGTTCCCTGTGGAATTGTAACATTCGGGCGTGACGAAGTCATGGAGGAAGTTGTTGGAGTAGCGGAGGTTTGTGTCATGGTATTAATTGATGTGCTTGTATCAATTGAGGCTGTTGAGTGTTGAAGCTTTGTGTCATCATGACCAGGTGGTTCCTTAATAAGACCAGGCTTTTCCGGGATTACGGGCTTTGGACGCAATCTTTCCTCTGAGATTTGAGGTGAATATTGAAGCCTCCAATAATATACCAGAGCGATGGTGAAGATTGAAACAGTAAATAGAAGTGCTAATCTCTTGCGCAAAGTTATACTTGCCATGTTGTCGCCTGTTGTCGTTGTTGTTCTAGGTGGTTACTGCACACAAAGCGCGTCCGCAATGGACTATAAAATATTGATATGAGATTGGTTTTAAAGTCAGTAGAAGTTCATAACATCTTGGAGATTAATAAGAGTCGATAATACGGAAGGATTGAACATCTTTCAATGTTATTCTAGTAACTTTGCAGCGTGGATAAAATTATGGATGTAATCACTCGCTAGATTTCCTAGTCAAGGTTGGAAATGAACCTTGAAACTACCTGGAAATTCAGCCACTGAGCCACTTTAATAGTGTACACAAGCCACTTCTATCTCTGCAGGCCCCACTCCCGAGGTCCTGAGGATCCATCATCCAAAGCGACGACAATTGACTCTTGACTTCTTGACTTGTTTGCCATCATAATTCCTACAACACATTCGAAGGAAGAACACTGAGTCTAGTCTCTACCCCTTCTTGTCTCGAGACGAACCTTTCTGGAGAATGTCAAAAGTCGTGCTGTGCTGTCTTCTGGAGTCATTGGAGGACAATTTCAGATACAAACTTTTATTTCATATAATTCATGTTCATATCATAATTATGTTCTGCTTTTCCTCCAGCTTAGCATCAAATTGTAATACAATTGTTCCGTTGCAGAATGTCCAGGACACAAGAGATGTGCACTAGACACTTTGAGAGCTGACATCTAGACATTCGAGGGGTTTTAAACATATATCTTCTCTTCTCTATAACTTCACAATTTCTGATAGAGGATCGCTCTGGGTAGATTTCAAGAATGAAGCGACTCAGATACATGGGGAGACCCAATTCATTCAAAAAATTGGATTCCATGAATACACGACTTTGTCTGATGACCTCCAAACATACCGGTGTTTATAGGTACTAGATAGATACATAGTAGGTCATATATTTTCTCTTGTTCTTTCCTTCCAAGCTCAGCGAACGACACGGACAACTTCACACCTTCCATGTTAACATCAGAATGAACCACGTCTACTCCTTCCTTGCTGTACTGACATGTTCACGCCAAATAAAGCCCTCTTCTTGTCATCCTCTTTCAATTCTCATCCAACAATCAAGCACACAGCAACATCGCTACAAATTTTGCTCTCTCAACCTACCACAGCCACCAGACACACACTCAAACAATTCTTGCTTCTCTACATTAAACATAAGCTACCCCTTGCTCTTTGTCACAAAGATTCTTTCTCATCCCAATCCTTCATCTTTCTTGAGGCTTGCTTTCCCATGAAGATCGGTGTCAAGCCTTCAGATTTGGCATACCACGTTTTCAACGCTTCCCATCCTCTCACTCTACACAAAGAAGAGCTGTTGGCAGACGTTGTGCATTTTCCAAAATATTCAAGAGAAGCATTCCTCAAGGACATCGCTGCTCATTCCAATCTCAAACCTGTGTCTGGATCGGACTCTTTCACCTTAACTCCTTTATCTTCCGCACGAAACTCGGAATCTTCGACATCATCTCAAGAAACTTTCCAACTTCACAAGGACCAGAAGGCCATCCTGGAATATTTGTCGCTTGAGCTAGAAACCAAACTCGACACAAAGCGTTGGGTTTTTGGCGGTGACTCTTCTGTAGAAGGACCCACCTACGACTATTCACAGACATCTGGGATTGATAATTCAGAAAGTACTGGTGAGTACCTTAAATTTCCCAATTTGTTTCCGAGATTAAGAGGCTAATTCTTTTAAGAAGAGACAAGCCCCTTTCCAGAGCATAATTCCAAATTGACTCTTCTGCAATACGCCTGGACAAAACTGTGGGTGGCATTGTTACATAAGGAGTACAACGGCGTTGATTTGGAATCAACAGACTCGTTACTAGAAGAATATTCACTCCAGGCGCCTACTCTGATCAAGAAGAAAAACAACAAGAATAATGGTTCATTATGAGCAAAGAAAGCCGCGGCTGGTACTTAGAAACACCCAACCTAGAGGGGCCGATCCTCCAAGGTTAATTTTAAGGCAACAAAGACAGGAGCCTTCATTCCCAAATGGCGACAATGCAGCAAGCTTACCACTGCAAATAACCTATCTTCCACAACCTTATCATGGCCAATATCAGAATATGGTCCCTAACTCTTTGCCATATGCTACTTTTCAATCTCAACTACCAATGACATATAACGTTCCGCTAAACATTAACATGGCTCCTAGTCATGCGACATCACAGATAGTTGATGCAAGGAATCATCATCGTAACATGAATGCCCACAACGGCCGAGGTCCTGAAGGAGACGAGGAAATGTATGCTGGATGTACTCCCGTTCTGGAGGAGCGTCGGAATGAGCACACTGGAAGGGTTTCCCCACGAGTTGCTTTACGCACTATGATGCAGCAAGCCCTTAGACCAAGTACACAACGTGAAAAGTTTGAACGCCAAACACACTATACTCAGCATTCTCACTATCCTCGCGATGCTTTTGGATTAAGCTCACGTGGCGTCAGTGTGGCATCTGATACCTCGATTTGTCCCCAAATTGACAGAAGTCTTGAGGCTAGTATTCGAGAGCAGCTTGCTCGTTCTGGTCTCCTCCGAGATTGTCCAGACCCGGAATATGTCAACAGGCCAATGGCGGTTGATCCTTCGATTGTCTCGTGCGGAAGAGCCCTGAAGCAACAAATACCATTCCATCATCACAGACCACAGTATCCCTTCAGTCAACCGCAACCCTTTGAAGAAGTCAAAATGAGCCGAGAACTCTCGCGACCACCTTTTTCAATCAGCACATCACCTCCAAAACTTCAAAGAAATACAGGAATTCCAACTTACAAAGTAGTTGTGCCACGGTCAAGTTCTCCACAAATTCAGACCTACAGAGGTGTCGATTCTGTGATCAAGGAACCCAAGAGAAGAGATAATCCACAATCGTACAAGGTCGAAGCGGGATCAAAATTCTTGACCAAAGATGACTACACTCCTACCAAAAGAATCGTTGGCTACTTTGTAGAGTCTTCTGGCGAAAGCCCTAAATCTGCCAAGAGATACCCCATTCAGTCTCTCAGCAATCATGATGAGACAACGCCCAAACCTCTCAGACACCCTGTCAAAAATCGCTCGGGTGGTGTTTCTGAACCAGAAATGACACAGTCTCTCATCAGAGATGGAAAAGACAAAGTCAATAAAAGTGAGGAAACACCCAGGGTAACAGCACCGTTGACAGAAACCACCGAGGGCGAAACTCTCAATGAGCCGATTGATATTATCGACAAATACGTTGACGGCCCTAAGACGCAAGCTTATGCTACAGTGCAAGAGATGTCGGACGATGATTTCATTACAAGCCCGGATGGAAATAAAAAGGCAGATTTACTTGAGGACTGCATCAAATCTCTGGCTACATGGGAAAAAGGAGATCGTAGAGTTCTTCTCAAGCTATTGAAGGTTCTGAAACGACTTGATGATGAAGATGATGCCAAGCCTATCGAGAGTCTAAAGACTACCTACCCTACTGAATCCAGCCCAAGAAAAGAAAAGGAATCTAGATCTAATAACAGTCTTAACCCCAAGGCGGCGTGTTTCAAAGATTTTAGTTCTGCTAGAGCTCATATTACCCGCGCCCACCATGAGCGGCGAGGTCTTTCGTTACAGGAAGAAATTACACCAACCTCAAATGAAATGTTACCAATGTTTTACCCGAAGCCCTTAATGTCAACAGAACCGGTTTGGATCAAGACTCAGCAAAGGACGCCCATGCCACCACTAGGTCTTCCCATTCCATTTAAGGCACATGTCGGTCGTAAGGTCCCAGTCAAGACGACCCTAGATCCACCTCCAAGTGAAGAGGATGAAGGAAGAGTAGCCAAAGCAATGGACCCTCGTCTAGCAGGGCCACTTCTTACTCGATTCTACAATAAATATCCATTGACTGGTACAGTATGTCCAAATCCACCTTCACCTCCTCCAGCCGCCGTGAAGAATGCTGCAGAGATTCAAGAGGAGCTTGAACGCCTTTTGTTGCAAGAAAAGGAAAAGAAGGCTTTTGCAAATTCTTCAACTGTTAAACCTCGTACATCGAAGGGAGCCGGTCCCGGTGGTGCCGAGACTTCGAAGCTTGCTAAGTGATCAATAATGAACAATTGACAACGGAATGGATAATGGATCCAAAAAAAGCGAAAGTATTGATTATAATAGTATATTGCTATTTCTGATGATAGTGTTATTTTGAGATAGCGGCGATACTTACGCAGATCAGAGCAGAGAAGCAGAAAGCCCTTGTGTATGATTAATAGTTGTAGTAGTCTTGAATTTTAGCCCTTTTACGACTTGCGAATAAATGCTTCTATGTTTGATTGCAATATGTATTGCGTGATATGAACTTCGTTATCTTTGCTTGTTGCTCTAGAAAGATTCATCAATACTTGATTGCTCTCATAACTGTCAAGATATTATATATATGAATAAGAACAAATTCTCGAAAGTAACCTCGATTACATGGTTTGTTTGTTGTTAATATCCAGGATGGAAGCGGTCGTTGCGGCCGCCATATCCGCACCAGGCTCAATATCATCAGAGCTCAATATCTTTTGTTTATTCAAAACGTAACGGGTTCATTGAGCGGCCTCTACATTTATCTAAGCTATTCAAGTTGCGAAATCGCATATGACAGCTTAAATCTCATATGCGACTATAATTTATGTTGAATCAATTAGTATAGTCGCGACCGTACGAAATCGCACAGCTGTGAAGCTACAAGTACTTTGTTCTTCAACCCTTGCACCTTCAGTTTCAACAAGAATATATTTCTTTGCACGACAAGTCATCGCACATTATTGATAAACCTCCATCAAAATGGCGACTCCAACGCCAGGAAAGTACCCCGGTGTAGCAGCGACACCTCCCGTCTCAACCCCATTTTCTACATCCCATCTAGCTTTTTCTCCCCATGGACCGCGTTCTGTTGTGCCATCTCCCTCTCAAATCAAAAAATCTAGTCCTGCAGGAACGTCAATGTCGAATCAAGCATATAATATGGGCATGGTGGGATTTGATAGTCCATCTGCAGCGTTGGCGCTGGGAATGGGTGCGGATGTCGTAGGAGATTTGGGCATTGATTTACAAGGAATTGGGGTGTTAGATGGTGGGCCGGGAAAGGATGAAGAGGAGAAGAGGAGGAGGCTGATGGGCTGTGTGGAAATTTTGAAAGTGAGTTCAGTTGGGTTAAGTGGTAGAGGTAGAGGGGGATATTATTCATGATTGGTTTGCTTGGGCAATGCTAATGCCATTTGTACAGCCTAATAAAGGACGACTTAGTGAGGCAGGGCTCGAAAGATTAGCACGCAGAGTCGGATTAGAATGTTTGTGGGAAGACATGATGGGAAGCGCCAGTAATGGACGCACACTTATTATAGCAGGGAATGCTCTTGCGCTCGACATCGATTTTGCGAATAATGTTGTCCAGAAAGTTTCACTCTCATTTCCCGATGCGCCGGAATCAGTAACCAAACATGAGAGGACAGCTTCAGATATACTTTTGAGGGATCTACAATTTGAGGCTGGGGAGAGTCCGTTGACCAAAATGCTGGATCGATTTGCGGCAAACTTAGAGAGATTAACTATGTTGGATAAATTGAGTGTTATACCTGGACTCAATTGTCATGAGGCGGTCGCGGGAATCTTTTGCAGTTTGCATAAGTTACATACTTGGGAGTTGGGAAGATTGAAGGAGAATGATATGTTAGGAATGGAGGATGAGGACATCGTGAGGGCTGCGATGTGTAACAGGAGTGGCATACCGATTATGCATTCGAGAGAGAGACTAGGGTTAAGTCTCGATTATTGGCAGGAAAAACGACGGATTCCAACAAAGGGGAAGAAACAGAATAGAAAGACATGGTCGTTATTGGTAGAGGTTGCACCATTACCTTCATTGGTGGTGGGTGTATATACTCCTTTGCGCGTATCTGATAAATGGATATCAGATGATGTTCAGCAAGCTAATCCGGCAGTCGATGATCTATTCCGAGCAGCCCAATTACAAGGGGGACCGATTTTGAATTGGTTGGAACCTGACAATACTCTTTTGCCGACAAATCCCGATATCAAGACAAATGATCTGAACGACCAGACGCAAAAGTTTCCAGAAGCAATGTTTGTTGCGAAATTCGATCCGCCGATTATAGTACCATATGCTATCGCGATGCAGATATACCAATCAACGCAAACGCCCTTTGATTTTTCAGAGATCACAACGTTTGATGGACTCATGTTTCCGTTGAGTGCGGAGGAAGCTTTAAAGACTAACGAGACACAAGCCAGAACTATCACCACAGAGAAAAATATCTCGGTTTGGGATACAGAGGGAAGAAAGAAGGTAGAGCAACATATTAATACGTTGTATATTGAGAAGATTGATTATGGAAGGAAGGTAGAAGAGGTATCTTTCAGTCATCCTAGACAATTGGTGGAGATTTTGCCATGCTTAAGACAATTTGCTTTGTTGAGTACTGTGTTGAGAAAAAGTTTTGAAGCGGAGGAAAGTTCAAAATCCAAATCGAAAGGACCATCAAAATCTGAAACACTATCAAAATCTCCTGATGTGGATGCTATAAACCCTCCGACGAAGAAACAGGAATTTGAGGATTTTATGAAGAGTATCACCACATCACCGACGCCAAAACCGGTTCTAGAAGAGCCAAAAAAGGAGAAGAGAAACGAATCAACGCATCTAGATGTTTCTTTAACATTAACCCCAGTACCCAGGGTGGAAATAGTATTTAAGTTCAAGAAGAGGAGTGCGAATGCGATTTTCGAAATTCAGGGGAATGGCGGAGTGGTGGTTGTACAGGAGAATATCCTGCATGGAATGGGAGAGGATGAAGCGATGGATGGAATGGGAGAAGAAAAGAAGGCAAGAACATTGACAAGAGATGATTTGGGTAGGATGTTGGAGGTTTGTGAGGATTTGGGGGTTTGGGTTGAGTGGGTTAAGGGGAGGTTGTAGATGGGTTTTGATTTGGGGGTGTGGACCAACAGCACGAGGACAGGATGGAGGAGGGAATGTGACGTATATGAGTGTATGATACCCAGCGAGTTGCCATCTATTTATTAATTCGTTTGATTCGTTCTAATGGTACATATCATATCATGCAAGTGATGTTAAATGTTGGACCCAAATTTTTAACGTAACAAATTTGGGAAAGAAAAAGAGAGAGAAAGAGCAATATCGTCTTGTGTAGAAACCCGAAGTCGGGATTCTGAGTGTCTGAATCTCTTGTTTTCCCGTGGATTGATTAAAAAATAATGAACAAGAATGTCTATTGACAGGGAATCCAAAAACACACTATGTATCTCACGGAAATCACTTACGAGATAACAATACACACGCCACCCACTCAAGTATTCTCCCTCACGCCCTCCATCCTCTCCAAACTCTCCCTCATTCCACTCTCCCCCGCCAACTCTCTCGCCATCCTCCCCTTCTCCCTCAACTCCACATCCACCAAAAACATCACCCCATCCACCCATCCCCTCTCAACCACCTTCCGCAGCAGCACCCCCCATCTCCACCCTCACTCTCACTCTCCTCCAACTCCTCCATCCCATCTTCACCCCATCCGCTCCATCCCACCAACCATCCCACACTTCCGATCTTCCCTCTGCAGGGCAAGAAGCAAGAAGCAAGAAGCAAGAAGCAACAAACCACTTCCCTCATCTCCACACCATCCTCAAAAAGTACCTAGAGCGAGCCTCTCGCGATATTATATCCATCCGCGACTACAGCGGCAATGAGGGATGTATATTCGTTCATTTTACTTACTTACTTACTTACTTACTAACTTACTTACTTACTTACTTACTTACTTACTTACTTACTTACTTACTTACTTACTTACTTACTTACTTACTGACTATATTAGATTCGCGCCGGCGTCGCGGCACACAGCTAGGAAGGATTAGGAAGGGACCTCGGGAAGAAGGAGATTATGGGGGTGGCTGACGAGCTAGAGCTAGAGCTAGAGCTAGAGCTAGATACCTAGATAGTTATCTATCTACTGAGTACCTACCTACCTACTCTTCTTCCATATAATCCATTCGCATGTAAGTGAAATGATTTCCTTTCCGAATTGTTAAGAGATATATCCATCCATCCATCCATCCCCCTTTAGATTTTAATCGCAGACGAGAAATTTCACGCTCGCTCGCTCGCTCGCTCCCTTTTAATCGCGATGAAGTCAACATCATCAAGCGTGCAGCACTCGCCATTCAATTAGGCTTTGCTTTCTCCTACACATTCCAAAGACTACTAAGTCTCTTCGTAACAACGCTTGCAATTTTTCATTACAAAGTCTTCATCTCATCAAGTGAAGTGCGCGGTTCATTTTCAATTCAAGCCCGGAAGGTAAACCAAGCCTCAACAAATTCATCATGTTCATATTCCCATCCATATTTACATCCATATTCACATCCATATTCCCATACCATTGTATCATCTGTAAGACTGCAACAACCAAGTAAACCAGATTCGAATATCTAAATTTCTTCTCTTCAGCTACATTTGTATTTGCATCACTCTTGAATTTTAGCAATCTTCGGGTACATCTGCTTTCAAGTTCCTTCATCACTCTCCACTCTCCACTATTCCCTCCCTCTGAACTATCATCTCTCCCAAATTCAAGTCGAGCAAAACACAAAGAAGTCATATTTCTCTCCCAAAGTTCTCTGAATAGTAGCAAATACCTCCATGATAATAAAACAAAACAAAAAGGTAACCTGTAAATTGCGAGACCGCATAGAACTCCAACTACTCCTCTTTCAATTCAATCATCCATTTCGATCCGTTCCAGTCCATGCAATTCGCCAGTCCTTTCGTATTAAACACAAGGCAGTATGCCAATCAAGTCGAGTGGAGGTAGTAGTAGTAAGGTATAGGAACACCTACTAGCCATAGTTTTAATACCCGATTCCCCGAAGCCGATTCCATCCACATCCACATTCCAAGCTCACTCCCCATACCAAAGAAATAATCGTATAAAATTTTCATTGCTCATTATCCGTATTTTCTCTTTCACGAAAAGTATTATCAAACCAAAGAGAGTCGACCATTCAATAATGAGCGAACCATCTAATCAGCTTCCGCCAATTGAATGATTAGTTTACTAGCCAAATCCAAGAAAGGGAAAGGACTAGTAACATCTTTTTCCTCGCACAGCATACCCTTTGCAGTTTCATATCCTGCGCATTTGAAATCCACTAGATAAACACCGGGCTCCATTTCATAGAGTTGGATATCGAGATGCATGATGACGCCTGCATCGTTCGCTTCAGATTCATCATCTTTTGGCATTGAGGAGGGGAGTGCGGGACTAGAAGTTGAACTGTTCAGGGAAGCAATGGAATGACGTCGGATATCTATCAACAGTTAGAAGGAGGTTTTCAAATGACTAAAGAATCACTTACCAGTTTTCTTCCAACGGACATGAAGCACCCATGGATCTTCTGGCAACTTGTAGTTTCCTTGCTTATCCACACCACTGAATCTATTTCTCTTGGATGAAGTATCATTCATAGAAGTTTCGCGATGAAGAGAGGCGCCACTTCCATTTGGATCATCATTGTCATTGTTATTATCATTGCGATTGTTCCCATTACTTTCACTCTGACCAGGTGTCCATTCATCGCCGACTAACCATTCGGCACCGAGCTTTTGAAGAGCTCTATAAATGCATCCAATTGCTTCAAGAGGTTGATTTCGAGACCGAATTCCAAATTGCCATTTTGTGGGCTTTGATTTTTTCGATGGAACTGGAGTCATACCTGCTGGTTTCTTGCCTTCATCGAGTTTCGCCAAGGTTCTAGAATGTGGATTTAAGCGGCGAACGGTTTCGGCTTTTTCAGCGTCTGTTTGAGGTGATGGTTCGATGGCCTCTGAGTGAGATGTTGACAGGGTACTCTCCTGATGGCCAGACTTGTGCGTTTCCATGAACTCTTTATGGTATTGTGGAATACTGCTTGGTAATATTCCGATTTTGCTAACATATGGTCGGCCAAATGATCTATCGGTTCCGATAGAACTACTAGATCTCGGTGATACGGCATCAAGAAGGGGGCTAGGTCGAGGCTGAAATGGCGCAACTGCTGGTTGAATATTACCAGGTCGCTCCTTAATGGCAACCGAAGGCGAATTAGGTAATGAGGGGGGAATCGCTGAGTCGTATGCTGGAGGTGAAGGAATCTGGAAAAGAAGTTGATTCTTATCATCGAGGAGATTTGCTGATTGACTGTTAATTTATACAAACACCAGAATTTTTGAAGTAATGGATAACTTACGATTCGCTTGCATCAATTTATTCTCCCGAACAATAAGATACGCATCCTTAATGGCCGAAGGTTCTTCCGCAGCCAAAGCCTCTTGAACATCTTTAATACCATAACCCATCGTCTTACTAATTTTCTCAGTAACTTGCACATGTAATTTCTCCTGAATGGCTGGGCTCGCATGAGGTGCAATCGCTCGGGGATTGATAGCCTTTGCGGGGTCGACACCTGTATCAATGAATTCTTCCACCGGAGGTTGCAAATAAGCAGGTAGATTTGTAGTGAACCAAGGATCATCTCGAATATCGGCAATGGTAGCTCTGTAGACCGGATTGACTGCCAACATTTTCTTTATCAACGCGGCAGCTTCACGACCCATATAACTAGGGACATTGTATTGACCCCTAGCAATCTTCGCAAATAAAGAAGGAATATGTTCATCATCGAAAGGTAATCTTCCCACAAGTAAAACATATAATATGACACCACAACTCCACACATCGACCTCGGGACCAGCGTATAATTTTCCATTAATGACTTCGGGTGCGGCATAATTTGGACTTCCGCAACTGGTCTTGAGGAAATTTCCATCCGTCATGATATTACTAAGTCCGAAATCGGCGATTTTGACGTTCAGGTTCTCGTCAAGAAGAAGGTTTTCGGGTTTTAGATCTCGATGCACGATCTTATGCCTATGACAGTATTCGACTGCGCAGATAATTTGTTGAAAAAACCGCCTGGCTTCATCTTCTCTCATCTTTCCGTGTTGTACGATATACTCGAATAACTCATTGCCGGCATATTCAAGAACCATGATAATCTCGGAGGTTGTTTTAATAACGGTATATCTGGGAAAGGATTAGTTAGCTAGCAAATAAATAAACTTGACAGAGGCAATCCTCACAATTTGATAATATGGGGATGTCTCAAAAGCTGAAGGTATTCGATTTCTCGCTCCACCCTTCCAGCCATATCACGACTGATCAACTTCCGCCTTCCAATAATCTTCAACGCAACCTGTTGACCTGTCACTCGATGGACCGCCAATTTAACCTTTCCAAAGGAACCCTCTCCAAGCGTACGTATGACCGAGTATGCGCCCACTCGCTGCTCTGTCTTCCTTTGTGGTGCCGGAACCGTTTCCATCCTCCTGCTGTTTCCATTTTGCGAATCCCGACGTGAGTGTGAGCCGGCGTCCGAGGCTCTATGTTGTGCGCGAGCGTTTGCAGATGGTGCCAGAGATATCTCTAGCTCGCCGTCATCGTATCGATTCATGACTACGGTTGTCAGGTATTTTCAAAGTGGTTGACTGGTGGTTTATTGACTCGGGGTAATTGTTCCGTTGTCGTTGCTTCAACCCCACCAAAGATGATTTCTGGTGGCTTTCAGCAGGTACTAGGTTGGTTGATACAAGGTTCAAATCAAACGGGTGTGAATCACTTGTTGTGAGTAATAGTTGAAGAGTCAGAAATATTTTCAAGGGTATAAGAATTATTGAGTGAATAGTTTGAAAGAGTCTTCTGTTGAGATTCTAAAAAAATGAGGAACCTTATGAAGGAAAAGTTGATTTGTGGTTCCCCGTTCTCAACCAGAATCCGACGGAGGTGGTCGATGCGGGAAGCTCTAGGTAGGACCTGTAGGTACACCAGGTACTTTTAGCGATATCTGGGGAAGTGAAGGGGACCGTAGTAGTGTAACATTGAACGCTTTATTAGTGCAAGGGGGGGGGGGAGAGGGAGAAGAAAGAGAAGCAAACATAGGTGGGTAGGTAAGTTCTGCAAATTTATATATATATACCTATTCATATAATTCGTCCGATTTCCCTCGTGTCTTGAGGAGATATATGTAATGTTGAGATGATAGTACTCGAGTATATAATTTCAATGATATTTTTCTACAATATCATTCACAAGAACTCTTCACTCTATCGACAATTGAGACCCAACTCACGAGGCAAACTCCCAACCTATAGATAGCTACCTATTTATAGTGTCAAATCATCGAGAAGTATACCTGGTAGAAAAGCAATTAATTCACTCATACAATAGCAATCAATTAATGACTTCATATTTCGTATTAGATATCTACATTTTAGCCTTTAGCATCATCTACATAGTTGCCAAACATGTATCGCTACTCCTTCAAAGTTTATACCAATCGTCCATGGAATTAGCGACGTATTAGAGTTATGACGAAATCAGAAGAAAGGAGGTAGCTTGAGATACCTGATAATCGTCAACTCTCAAGTGAATTTAGAAACATTGGTTAATGTTTATGTCGTCATATATTGGGATTTATATACACCTCCTCTACTCGTACTAACATTGGTAGTTGTTAGCATATTATTCTTTGATATTGTCTCGCGCATTGTACTCCCCCTTCAAAGTTCACTCGTACTACACGAGCATCGATGGAAAGTTACCGACGATTGAGTAACTCTACTCAACTCTCCTCTCACATGGTTGCCAGATACCATCAATCATCGCTATAAGAATTATTTAACCCAAAAGTCCAAAGAATGATCACAATTATCATATGATTCCAGAAAAGTATCAAATTCAAGTCTCCAAAAAGAGACCCTGTCCACCCGCTTACTAATCCTCCTCGAGCTAATTTCCTAATCGAGCAATTCACACCTTGCCCAGGTAATATCTTATCGAAAAATTAAATACTTTACATGACCAGCTCTCACCCCTCACCCCTCACCCCTCACCACCAATAAACATCTCCTCATCATCCAACAAAAATGCTACTCTCAACCTCTCGTGCATTGCCGCATACATTGCGCGCAATAACTCGATCCCACACAATTACATTTTCCAATATACGACGCTCAGTCTCAACATTAAAGGAAAATCCTAATATTGTTTGTTACCCCTCCTCTTATTGTCAAATCCTCCCCCCTTCTTCTCCCCTTCTCCCCATCTCCCCATCTCCCTCAATAATTCCATTCCCCCTCATCTCCACCCAACCCAGCAAAGCTGACCCTTTCCTAGTACATCCACCCACCCACCTCTTCCTCCCCCCAATCCCACACCCTAACCCTCCTCCCCACCACTCCACCAACCACATCCCTCTCCCTCGGCACCACCACCACCCTCCCCATCACCCCTCAATCCTTCACTCCCAACCCTCGATTCCTCCCCTTCCTCTCCACCATCCTCCAAAAATACGCCCATCTAGATCCACAACTTCACTCGCAAGCCGCCGCCTTCGCCACCACCACGACACACTTCTCCCTCTCACCTCCATCGTCCTATCGTCAAAACAAAGGCGGAAAGTCCTCAAAAGGAAAAGATTCCGGAGCGCCACCTAGTGCCAGTCAAGGTATTTTCCCCAATCCCCCCTCCATCTACCACACACTACCCTCTCTCTTCCCCTTTTCCCATTTCCCAAGCCCATAATTAACCCCTCTCCAAGGCGGCGCCGGCTCCGGCGGCCACGGCGGCTACATCCACCTCTCCGATACCCGCGCACCCCCCGACTACGGCCGCATCGCCTACCCAGAAGATATATTCGGATCTCTCGAAGTGGACGCGACCGGACAATTCGTCGAAGGAGATTCTGGGAAAGCGCCCGGAAATTGGCAAGACTCGGGAACCTACCGGATAGTCACCCGTGAGGGCATCTTCGGATTACCGGATTTCTTGAGGGGGAAATTGGTGGAGGCGTTGAAGGAGGAGGAGAAGAAGATTAATGGAAACTAAGTTGAAGGGGCTTAGAAGGAGTAGGGAAGTGAAAAAAGGCTTAGAAAGGAGGGAGTGAGAATTATATTTGAAGAGGCGGTTAAGTTGGACTATGAGATTTCTCCAAAATTGACGGGAAGGAAAATAGACAAGGGTTTATGAATGATGAATTTGGTATATATTGACGTGTGGAGGGATGAAGAGATGTGGAGATATGAAAGCACGACGAGAACTTTGAAAGGTTGATCATCAGGATGGTTGGCGGTGACGATGACGTGCGCCAGTATGTATATTATGTATTACGATTATCACGCGACTCTACTCCATAGACATACTATACTATAATGAGGATCTATCTGGGGAAGGGAAATCCGGAGAAGTTGTGGGGTAATACTACTGTAAGATTAGAAAATCCCCAGCTTTAGCCAAAGACAGGGTCGGGTGGATAGGGATGGGCACAGGCCAGCATGTCAAAAAGTATCAAAAGTATCAAAAGTGCCGGAGAACAAAATAAATGTTATCTGAGTTTCATTCTCTCCCAGTTAGGTCAACCATCTAAAAAGTAACCATCTTGCTAACTTGAACGCAAGATCGACGTGAAGGATTTGATCTTCAAAATGCAACGAAAATAGACCTTATCGCCAAGCCATTATCAACTTTCTCCCACCCAACCATTGTTACACGCAAAAAACAATCTATTTCTTAACCTCAGTACCATCGAGTCCACCGAAAATCTAAAACTTGGTTAGTCGAATTCATGTGCCACTTGGTTATAGATTAAACTTACAGTCTCCATCATAATACCAGTAATTTGATATGGGTCGGCATTTGAAGCGGGTCTTCTATCCTCAAAGTATCCGTAACCCTTGGCACCACATTCTCTTGGAATACGAATGGATGCACCACGGTTGGCAACACCATAAGTGAAACTGTCGATGGAACCGGTCTCATGTCTGCCAGTAAGACGCATGGCGTTGTCATCTCCGTAAACTGCAATGTGCTCCTTGTGGCGACCCTCAAGCTTCTTGATAGCAGCCTCAATGTGCTTCATGCCTCCCTCTACACGCATCTCAGCACTTGAGAAGTTGGAGTGGAGACCAGCACCGTTCCAGTCACCTGGAATTGGCTTGGGGTGGAAAGAAATCTTGGCGCCGAATTCCTCAGCGACACGATTCAGGAGGAAACGAGCCAACCAGAGGTGGTCACCCACTAAAATAAGAGTCAGTGATTATTCAGATTGATAATAGAAACAGGGGAGTACCCACTTTCGATGCCATCGCAAGGACCAACTTGGAACTCCCATTGAGCTGGCATAACCTCGGCGTTGGTACCGGAAATCTTGATGCCAGCATTCAAGCATGCCTTGTAGTGAGCCTCGACAATATCTCTGCAGAAAACCTTGCCAGTACCAACACCACAGTAGTATGGGCCTTGAGGACCTGGGAAACCATTTACTGGCCATCCGTAAGGTCTATCGGACATATCGAGGAGAGTGTACTCTTGCTCCAAACCGAACCAAGGCTCGTGGGACTTGTGTGCCTCCATGAGCTTGGCAGCCTCATGACGGTAGTTGAACTTGTTTGGGGTTCCATCGGGATCCCAGCACTCGGTCAAGACCAAGATGTTTGGGGCACCACGGAATGGATCTGGGAAGATTGCGACGGGGCGGAGGTAGACGTCTGAGTTGTCACCGGGGGCTTGACCGGTCGAACTACCGTCGAAGTTCCATTCTGGGAGGTCATCCAGAGTGAATTGACCGCTCTCTGGGATCTTGGTGAGAGTCTGTAAATAGAAAAAATTATATTAGTGCATGAGTCATTTGAGGTATTTGTGAAATTTTTGTTGAGGATGCAGTTGGGGCGCAAAGCCGCGGGTATGTGTGTGTTGGGTAATGTTGCTCACCTTTGACTTGGAACGGGTACCGCCAGTGGAATCGATCCAGATGTACCTTTGTAAAGGATTAGATTTTGAAAGAGGGGAAAAAAGTATTCCATTAATTAGCTTACTCTGCCATGGCAGATCCCTTCTGGTCGAGCGCCATGTATTTCATGAGCTGTAAGGTTCAAAGGTAAAGGTTAGTGTTCTGTTTTGTTTTTGTTTTGTTGCGCCGATAGCGGGGTATGGTTGTGAGGCACAAAGATTGGTGTTATCTTTGAAGGAACGGGAAAACTTACGTTCGCCGTATAGGAAACCGTTGTTGAGACAGCCATGATGGCGGACTTATTATGAGAATATGGAAGAGAGAAAGTAAGAGAGAAGAATAGAGAGGAATGCTTTGGAAGCAAAGAATCGAGAGGTGTAAAGTGGTTGTTGTTGTTGTTGTTGTTGTTGTTGTTGTTGTTGTTGTTGTTGATAGACTTCAAAAGTCCTAAGAGTAGGAAAGAAGAAGAGTGTGGGGGATTTGGGGAAGAGAGAGAAAGAGAAAAGGTATGAAAGAGGAAGTGGGAATGTTTATGTATGTGTGTGATTTTATTTTAATTCACTACCTAGGTAGACTTTTGGAAAATGGAACTGGAACTGGCAATGGCAATGCAAATGGAAATAGAAATAGAAACAAAATAGAATTGGCTAGGTAGGGTAGGTATGATTGTCAGCGTAGATAAGAGTGGGGCCTGTCGGCTAAAGGAAGAAGAACTTTTGTACGTTCGACGCTCGTGGCTCATACATCGACGCCCTGCAGGTCGGTCTTAGGAAGGGAAAATGGCTGAGGATGGCGAGGATGGCGAGGATGGGCAATGGACAGGGGTCGGATTAAAGATCGAGAGGCGTTGCAATAGTGAAGATTACCTAGGTAAAAGGCCATTAAGTAAATCAATCGAGTATTCAGTACCTAATTAGAATGGACAGAAACAAATGAATCACCAGAATAAAATTGGAACGATGACTCTTGCGGCTTCTCATGGGCGGAGCCAGAGAGACAATGTGGAGGGGCGTGATGAGCGGGCGGTGGGTGGGCTGATGCGATTGATGATTTCATATGGAGTAATGAGAGAGAGAGAGAGAGAGAGAGAGAGAGAGAGAGAGAGAGATTCTTGCTACATACATTTACGTTACCCAGTTGATGATCTACGGAGTATAAAGGATTGAATTCTCATTCTTTATAATGAGTACCCAATATTTAAAGAATGAAATGCATTTGGTTACAAGATACATACAGGTTGAAAGAGATCATTCATTCATTGCAAACTACCTAGTACTCCATCTACGTACCACCTCCTCCCTCCATATCTGATATCAATCTTTTCTTTGTTCAACCCCCCATTCACCCATTCACTCATTCCCCCATTCCCCCATTCACCCATCCACTCACTGCCCAATACCAACCATGAACTAACATTACCTAGGTACTGTGTGTTTGTTACTTTTACAGTCTTAGACTCTGAATTCCCGACATCCCCAGTCCCCTTTATGGTCATCCCATGTACAATCTTACAATCAATCCCTTGGGATACATCCGCCGGACAAACTTACAACTGTTGAGGCATATATTACTCGACTAAGAGATTCATCCTTGAAACATTCCCTGTCATCCAGTCTTCTTGTATCGTGTATCATGTATCTAGTCTGATGTAAAATTATATGTGGCAACCATCTTCATATCACCGTCTATTAAGTTATTTCTTTGGAAAGCCCCAAAGTCAAAAATAAAAACCGCAAAAATAATACTCCTGGAACAGATCCTCATCGCCAGAATTCGTATCTTCACCTTCTTTCTTGGAATCTCGACGTTCCCTTTTCGCAAATGGTTCCGCATCGTCACAATCCAGGGGCAATGCATACTATATTAGTCCGTCTCCCTAGTACGAGTGTAGTACATTTCCTGGTCCGAGAATGCAATGCAAAAGAGTAGTTTGGTCAAATGTGTCCGTCCATACAAGTTCAAAGGATCTACAGAAAAACTAATCGCCGGTTCCATTATGCTATCGCTGTCGCCGAGCGGGTTCAACTATCGTGATTATCATCTTTGACTCAATCGAGTCAATCGAGTCAATCAAGTCAATCGAGTCAATCAAGTCAATCAAGTCACATCCCACGCAAATATGATCCTATACTTATCGACAAGACGGTACAAGACGGGAGAATCGTGCAGCCAGCTTCCAGCCATTCCATACCGTTCACATGGATGAAAATGTCTCACAATTATCTTCAGCCCTTTCGAATGGAATTCTCTTTTTCCTGATATCTTGTTTCACCACCGAAAACCACGCAAACAGGGTCTGACAAACCCAGACATTGCAGACATGGCAAGAAAAGGTCTGGTCTCTCAACGCTGACTCTATCAAACACATACCCGTACAGACTGCATGCATGCATCGTGGGAACGGTCCAAGGTCCCCCACACACACAACAACAACACCATGCACATCTCACCCAATCTGTCTATAGCCAATCAATAGTAACGTAAAAAGGTTTTTAAACTCCCCCGGTTTATCATTTCCTCTATCTGATCCTACCCACGCTCGCACGCTATCACGACCTGAATAGGGATTTCATGATTCTCGAGCCCAAACAAAGAGTGGAAATGGCCGAATCTATGGCGTGGCTTTACAAATAGATTGCTTTTTACGGGATAAAGGATGGAGGTATTGGGATGTTGGGACGATATGATTCGGTTCAAGGTCAAAGAATCTTTGGTCTGGCCGAGATCTTGAGTAACAGAAGTCATGGATTCTGATAAGAAGATTACAATCTGATTGGGTTGATTAAGCCCAGTTCGTAAGCGTCCCATCTAATCATCGATGCCGTCGTCCGATCTCGCCTATGCTTTTTGCAAAAGAAGAATCTGAATTTACTTTGTCCAGTATGGTTGGTTGGTTGGTTGGATGAATTGAATCCAATGGGAGGGAAATACAATTTGTCGGGTTTCATCATGTGATCTACCATCCGGTTCTAAATTTATCCCATTGGGAAAGTCCTTGAGACATTATCCGTTTTCCCTTTCATCCATTGACAATTTCATTCCTCGAAAGTTTATTATCAATGGATTCAATAGTAACATCTTACATCTTCTTCTCCTGAATGAATCTTCGCCATCTTGGCAATGGTACCTGAATTACATGTTCAAATCGGCATCGCCTTCAACTCAATATCCTATGAATTGTACGTGACAGAACTGCCTTTAATTCTATGCGAGGCCAAGCCCCTTTCTGACACCGACTACCAGGCGAGGTCGTACTTTTCGGGTGTGCTCGCGACTCATTTCTTTGTTTGTATATTTGCCTTTCATTCATTACCATATATTTGTCGGAATCAGTCGGTTTGCAGGTTTCAACGCTCTTCTGTACCTTATTCACGCAGGTACCAAGACCATCCGCTTGCCATTAGACCTGAAAGAATCATCCCCAACGTTTCGTGGAAGTCTCCGTGAATATGGCTTGGTATTGTATTGTTTCTCAGCACAACACACCGTTTTTCTCCATCCAAGGCGGTCTGTCGTTTGTCGTCGAGTCTCGATACCGCCAACGTCTGTCCTGTCCTGCGCTTTCACATACATGGTGAACTTTGAATCGGTGATACAAT